TGCATCAGTGCCTCTTAGACACAGCTTTTTATACACCCACCACAATTTCTTTATAGGTTTCTCTCTCTCACTAGACGAGTACTACCTGTTCTTATTTATTAGTTTTTGTAGCCCAGCATCACACAGTGATGACCTATAGAAGAGTTTCTGTATGCAAATATTGGCTTTCCTTCTATATAGTTGAAATGCCCCAATAAGGAGAATACTATGGACTGCTTTGCAGGAGGAACAGGACACCAAATATGAATGCAAATGTTTCTGAAATTTGAAGTTATTACACAAAACAGAAATGTTTTTATGGTTGGCTAGGAAGTGTTGGCAGGACACAAAAACAAATGTTGATTCTTTCCTTGGAATTTAAAATTACATTTTGGATAATTCGACTTGCTCAAAAATATTTCGTATTTGTTGAATATACTATCCACCTCTTTGCAGCGTTCCTAAATGCATTACTTTATCTCAGGAAATCAGCATTTTACAATTCTATTCCTGCCACCAACAATGTCCTATAGTCCAACCCCACCTACCACACACACCCAGAGACACCCTTACACATCAACGTGTCCTTCAAAATTCAATCTTTCTGGGAACTGTCTCAGCTAATCCCACCTTCTATGTGCCTGTGAGGTGCCATTTCTGTCTTCCTACAGCACCAAAATACATTAATTCAAATCCAAATTTTTGGATCATTTGAGTATAGCATTAAACATCATCAAAAATTTATTATTTATAAAAAACTATTTACCATATTCTGCAAATGCAAAATGCACATCTTCCTTGACGCTAGGGGCTTCTACATCTTTGTCATCTCCCTCCATCCCAACTCTGGCCCCTTCCTCAAACATAGCTCGAAGCCTTGACAGTACTTGGCACTCAGTAAACACCTGTTAACAGAATGTGAACTGTATGCAGAATGAATGAATGAATCTATTTTTAAAAGGTCAAGATTTCAGCTAAAGGGTCATCCTATTTATTACTTAAAGATTATTTAAGTAATCTCTACACTCAACATGGGGCTCAAACTCACTACCCCAAGATCAAGAGTCACATGCTCTACCGACTGAGCCAGTCAGGCATCCCCAAGATCATCCCATTTATTAACTGACAATAACTACATTAAGGCCAATACTCTATAAAAGCTTTTGTTTTAATGATTTGACCTGTACCAATTTTTACTCACCTTAGTCAAAATGACTTCTAGTTACCCTTGCAATACCTGCTTTACATGTCCTTTCTTTGTTTCCTAAGCATATAATTCCATCAAGGTCCAAACCATATTATCTAGAAAGCTGTTTATCGCTCTTACCATGCCCCAAAGTCCTCAAAGGTAGGCATGTGTCTTATGCATTTCTATCCCTGAGCAAGCACAATAGTTGGCCCAAAGTGGCTGCTCATTATCCTGTCTGCTAAAGTAAAGGAAATTAAGATTAATTAACAGGGGATTAAACAGTCCTTATAGTTGTTCTGATAGAATATTATCTTGATGATTTTTTTTTTTTTTTTTAGAACCAGAGTAAAAAACTGATTTGAGCACAAAATATCTTATACTGGATTTAGCAGAGTCAAGCAACAGGTTTAAAAAAAAAAAAAACAAACAAAAACTGGTGAAATTCTCCTTGAGATTTGGGAAAAGACTATCACGATTTAATTTTACAAGCAGCCACCTCTACCTATTCTGTAGGACAACAGTGCTACACAGGAACACCCAAACCATTGAAATCCGCAGTTTTTACTGTCTCTAGCCACATCCTGACAAAATGCAAGAAACCTAAACTTGAGCTGCATTCAAGGTTCTGTGTGACATTTCAAATTCAAGTATGTTAAAGCCACTTTGTCTTCTGAGTTAATTCCATTCTTTCCATTCTTAATGCTACTCCATTCTCAAAAAGTCATGATACATTTGTACCCTTGTCCCCAGTTGGGCCAAGTTGTATGAAGGTCATTCCTTTCCATTCCTTTGGTCACCACTATAATATTGGCCCTTATACAGATGACCCTTTGAACAACACAGGTTTGAACTGTGTAGATCAACTTATGCAAGGAATGTTTCCAATAAATACAGTACAGTACTGTAAATGTATTTTCCCTTAGGATTTTAATAACATTTTCCTCCTTCTAGCTTACTGCATTGTAAGAATCCGGTATACGATGCATATAACATCCAAAACATATGTTAATTGACTGTTTATGTTATTGATAAAGTGTCCAGTCAACAGGAGGCTATTACTGGTTAAGTTCTGGGGAAGTCAAAAGTTATACGCAGATTTTCAACCGTATGGGAGGTTGGCACCTTTAAGCCTTGTGTTGTTCAAGGGTCAACTGTATTTCTACTTAGACTAGCCCAAAAGTCTGACAAGAGTCTCTGAAGATTTTCCTGTCTAATGCCCTGGTCACAATGCTACCAAATTAATCTCCCTTTAAGTCAGTGGCTCAAATGTTGGATGATTCCGTCATCATTTCTCCCCTCAGACATTTGGTATCATCTGGAGACATTTTCAGTTGTCACAACAGGACACTACTACTGGAATCTAGTAGGTAGAGGCCAGAAACTCTGAACATCCCATAATGCACAGGAAACCCTCTCCCACAACAAAGAATGATCTGGCTATATATACAGATCACCCTGTTACCTTGGGCCAGTTTCCTCATCTGTGAAAAGGGGTTAAAGTACCTATCTCAAAAAGGAGGATTAAGTGAGCCACACTGTATGAAGAGCACTGAGCACAGTACCCACACACTGGGTACTTTCACACATTTAAAAAAAATTGCTAAAGCTGTTACTTTTGTCTTTTTTCTCAAACAATTACTGTCACAGAAAAGGGACTGAATGGACACTGATAATGGGAATAGAAACAAGAAAAGGATTTCAAATAAACATCGATGAGGTGTTTTTCTGGGCCTGGACAAACTTTGTGCCACTAGTATAAGCAACCAAGGCGGCTGAACCATTTTTAAAGCAAGTGCTATTAGCCTGGAAAAATGTTAATGTCATTATCAAAAAATGCAGTAAACAAATTTAGAAAATTGTAGCTGATGAGCCTGCCACTGAAGAGAAAAAGTCCTGGGGTACCTGGGTGGCTCATTTGGTTGCGTGTCTGATGCTTCGTTTTGGCTCAGGGCATGATCTCACAGTTTGTGGGTTCAAGTCCCATGTCAGGCTCTGTGCTGACAGTGTGAAGCCCACTTGGGAGTCTCTGACCCTCCCCTGCTTTCTCTCAAAAATAACTAAACATGAAAGGAAGGAAGGAAGGAAGGAAGGAAGGAAGGAAGGAAGGAAGGAAGGAAGGAAGGAAGGAAAGGTCCAAATGAAGATGTTGTAGACTCAAAAGAGATTGCAAGGAACCAGAACCAGAATCCTGACACACTAACCTTTTTGACAGAACTACTAAAATTGGGAAAAACCATCAATAGGATGTATCAGGAATGCTCTGTGAAGTCTGATAGGGCTTTTCATGGTAGTCTTATGGAAACATGACTTGGGTACAACAATTAGGTAGACTTGTAATCACTGTAATAATTGCACCAAAGGTGGTGCCTCACCCATTGCCACCACATGAGTGGTTACCTCTTCTCTATCCTGGATACATCACTTCCATCCAATATCAAACATGGCTTACCATTGTTCACCCTACCCTCACTTGCCCTATAGTTTCTGCCCATTTCTCAGCACCTCCTGAGCCGTCCCAGTCAAACTTCTTGGAAGAGTTGTTCTAACAGTTTCCATTTTCTCACCTCTCAACTGATTTCCATTCCCATCACTGCTAAAATAGGCCAAATCCAAAGTCACTTTTCTGTCCTCATTCTAGTTAAGTTCTAACTTGCCTTTAAGAAATCAAAACAAAGGGGCGCCTGGGTGGCTCAGTCAGTTAAGAGGCTGACTTTGGTTCAGGTCATGATCTCAACTGCTCGTGAGTTTAAGCCCTGTGCTAACAGCTCAGAGCCTGGAGCCTGATTCAGATTCTGTCTCTGTCTCTCTGCCCCTCCCCTGCTCGCTGTCTGTCTCTCTCAAATATAAAATAAAACATTAAAAAAAAATCAAAGCAGAATGAAAAACAAAAGTACAGGAAAAAGGATGTCTGACTTGCAACAGCAGCAACTTTAAAATAAAGACTTTAATCACAGTAAGTCAAGAGTCATGATCTTAGAAGTCATAACAGAAATATGTCCACTCTGCTGTGTACTGCTCCTATGGGACTCGGAATTCAGTTCTGAGGATGTCTTCTTGCAAAATAAGACTTTTAAACTGTCATCACTGCTTGAAGATAGAACCTGTTGAGGGGAATAGGTGTGTGGGAAGTACTGCCTGGCAAAGAGCAAGATCTTTTACTGAATGTACACAACTTGAAAAATTTCATCTGAACTCAAGACTCAAGGAACCTAACTGGCAGTCACGCCAGTATTAACCTTAATGTAGAGAGCGAGAAAGCATACCTGAACTTAAATCCAGATTTTCTGATTCGAAAGTTTAGAATATTCGGACACGCTCTGCTTTATTAAAGTGGAGAAAACAGAGTGCCACCAATCACCACTTTACGTTGGTGAAGGGGCTGCCAGACCTTGGAGCGCGCTAGGAAAGAGCTTCAATTCTCACCCCACCTGACTCTGGGTAACGAAGAATGGAAAGGGACCCATGATTAGCAATCATGAGACCTTCCACCACAATCTCTTTCGGTGGGTTTTAATTTCCTTCTCTCTCCCCACTGCCCTCCTCCAGATGGCACCTCCCTTCACTTGAAGGGCCCAAGGCGAAGATCTGATTTTGTCTGGAGGCCCGTCTAACTTCCTACAGCGTCCCGGGGGGAGGGGGGATCACAGGGCGCAAACCTAGAGCTTCCCCCGTAGTTCTCAACGGCCAGAGGCCATCAGAGTCGCGCTCCCGGCCCCTTCGCTGCTTGCACCTGGGAGGCGGGGGTCAAGGCCGAGGACGAGAGGGCCGCGGGCCATGACTAGGCTGCAGAGTTCCCCCCGCCACTTCCCCGCGCCCCCCGACCTCGGCTTACCCGCGTGGGACATGGGCACGGTGAGGTTCCCGTGGCTCTCCTCGTTGTAGAGGACCACGGCCGAGGCGTTCCTCCGTGCAGCCACCAGCACCTTGTCCTTGAAGGTGCAGCCACCGCGCGCCACCAGGGCGACCCAGGGCGCGGCTCCACGGCCGCCGGGCGCGGGCACGAGGAAGCGGGTATCTGGCGCGCAGCCCTCGGGGTCGCGATCCGCCGCGCGCGGGACGCCCACCAGGCCCTGCGCGCCCTCCTTGGGCGAGCTGTCGCCGAAGCGGCCGCTCTCCGAGACGCTCCATACGGTGCGGTTCGTGTACGGGTCGACGTACTCGGTGCTCACCACAGCCGAATACCACTCGAACGCCCGCCCCCGGGCCCCGGGCGCGCACACAGCCAGCGCCAGCAGCGCCAGCGCGCCGCGGACCCCGACGCCGGCCTCGGGCCGCCGCCGCCACGCCATGGCCCCGCAGCCAGGCAGTCGGGGAGGAGACCGGGCCGGGAGCTGCGCGACTCCCGAGGTCCGGAAGGAGGGCGCGTGCAAGCCGCCAGAGAGCGAGGAAAAGACGCTCTCTGCCGAGCAGCGCAGAACCAGGCCGGGGGGCGGGCGGGGCCGCGGCGCACGCGCACCTGGCGGAACGGGGCGTGGGGCGGGGCTTTTCCTGGCCCCTCCCCGCCGGGGAGCCCTCCCCGGACGGGGGAGCAGCGCGTGCTGGCTTGAGTCAGACCCTCTCAGTGCCTTGAGCTTGTCTGGTTCTGGCAGTTAGGCGGTCCAGTGACGCCGGGACGGGTGCTGGCAACCCACTCGCCGGCTTGCGCCACTGGGGGCCCGGTGGCCAGACGCCGAGCTTGTGTAACGGGACCTCGAGGGCCCCCGAAGCCAGGGGAAGTAGCCGTCGGAGAAACGGGAAGCTCCTCGTCGTGCGGGCCCGGGGGGGGGGG